CAAGCGTACGCAGGTACGAGCAAAAACACTCTTACACTTACAGCACTAAACACATTAGGCTCAGGGGACGCTCTCTTTCCACTCCCCTCCACGCTCAAGTACAACTGGTAGCTGCTAGCAAGTTAGGCTAGTCAAGCGTACGCAGGTACGAGCAAAAACACTCTTACACTTACAGCACTAAACACATTAGGCTCAGGGGACGCTCTCTTTCCACTCCCCTCCACGCTCAAGTACAACTGGTAGCTGCTAGCAAGTTAGGCTAGGCAAGCGTACGCAGGTACGAGCAAAAACACTCTTACACCCGAGTTACAGGGGGACCACCGGCAGAAAGATTTCTCGCCAACATTTATAAAAAAAAACACCATCCTTACCAGGACTCTCAGGGTCCCACACGAGTTAATTGCTGCCAAATGAACAGGCCTAACTCAACAGTACAAATTTGCAGAGTCTTTAATGGAGCTCATGCTTACTTTGTGACTTCGACTTAATAAACGGTCCCCCACCAAAAAAAACCACAACACTTCCACGACACCTGGACCTAGTCCACAGGGAATTTAGCATGTTACCATGCCTGATGTAATACCGCGCGGCAAGCAAGGCAATCCCAAACGTGGCCAAACACCTGAGGCTCAGACCACACCTCCACCTCACTGACCACTCACCATTGAACGATGCCCATATCCGAATGGGGCATGCTTCCAATGCACAAAATTTCCAGGCTAAGAGCCAATCCACTGACCCACGGTCAGCCAAAACTACACCAGAAATATACTTGATATACTTCCTTTCAAAATAAAATTTTCCTAACTGTTTCATAATTTTTCACATTTTCGACATAATTCTTCCCCCGCGAAGTCCTATATTTCATCTACTTTTACAACAAGGCTAAAGCGAGCATAATTCAACAACCCCAACTCAGTTCAGGGCCAATTAGAGGTACCAATTTGGGTTATTTTACTGACTTATACACTAATCAAACCAGATCCATCACAGTGGGACTGTGTTGAGCTGCTACTCCAACAGCAGGTCCGCAGCAAGGAGTCTCCATGTGTCCCAGTCAACAGAGACAGCAAGGTCTGGCTTACACTCCTATATAAAACTGTTCTGTATAACAAACAAAAATAATTATCCAGTGCACATTTACATATAATTATCATAAACTACTAACCAATTTATCTAAATAACAAACATTTATTCTTTTTACTAACATCAGCTTGACAGTTTATTTTTAACCAATCAAGGGTTCCTCCAATTTTTCACGACAGCTTCCTCTGGCGAGGGATTATCCACGGCCCAGTGTGACGTCTCCCTTAGCCCATTGGAAGACCTAACATACCGGAACCTACGTTTACAAAAAAAACATTAGATAAGCAACAAAAAAAAACTTCCAAAACCCACAAGTTATCAATTAACCAATTTAAAACAAGAAAACCCGATACGGCAGCACAGTGTCAAACAACTCTCCCAACCCAGCAACCACCCCGGTTCCATCATGTGGGACCCAACGACTCGGTCCCCCGGGGACTCTAAGAAAAGAAAGAAAGGAGCACCTGCACCTCCACCTGGGAAAGAAAGAGAACACCTCACGTAAGAGAGGAAGTATGCGAATTCACCATCGCATCGCTACGCTCCTTACACCAACGCACCACCTGGAAAAAGAAAAGAGAACACCTCACGTAAGAGAGGAAGAATGCGAACTCACCATCGCATCGCTACGCTCCTTACACCACCGCACCACCTGAACAAGCAGTGCTCTGATCAGAATGTAGAACTGAACGAACTTCTTATGATCATGGACGAGTGTTTGGGAAAAGAAGAGAAATATGGACACGGAGAACAGACGCACCACCAAGCGCCCATGGAACCTGAGAAAAGAACAACTACGGGGAGTTCAATGAGACCCAAGTCCCACCAGAGGACAAAGGAGGTCGGGGGGTCGGGGTGAGTCGCGACACTGGCTCCAACAAAACAAAACAAGTGTGAAGTCGCAACGGACATAAATTAACCCGACCCAAATTAAAAATAAACGCAAGCTATGAACAAATGACTATCCACAAATTAACAAGAATTCCACAAAAAAATAGCTTTAGCCCTAGTTTCACTTTCGAATATTCAGCGTTCAATTCGCAGTCTAAAAAAAAATAAAAATCCCTAATTAAATCCCCACCTAAGTCAGTAAAAAAAATCCCCATTCCATAAGGAAATTTAAATTTAAATTCCCTTTATCCCACAAAAATCAAAACAAATCCCTATGGAGGGATAAAAACCCGTTTCATCCCTGCCACAGTTTGAAAAATCCCAATGCTGGGAAAATCCCGATGCGGGGACAAAAATCCCGCCAATGACAACACTTTTCCAGGTACAACTTTTTACTCAGTAATTTAAAAAAACAAATTCAAAACGCATGACCCCATTGCCTACTCAGACAAGGACTAAATAATGGAAACCAGGTAATTTTTCATCGACGCATCACATAAAAACAATTAATTCTCGCTTTACCCTTCTCGGTTTTTCAAAGTAATTAACCAAAATTTTCAAAGATTATCATTAATCCGTCTTTCCCTAATCAATAGATAGTGCAGGCCTACATCAAATAATTTATTTCCCCAAATTATTTTACGATTACACAATATCACTGGTAAGATTCCAGGAAATTTCCTAAGTCCAATTATCATAAAGTACAAAATCCAGTTCTTATTTTTATAATACTTAAGGCTATCAGAACTGTCAAGTGAGTTGGGCCCTTTGTCCTGATTAATGGAGTAAGCAGGTAATGCTGTCACTATATCCAGTAAAACAAACTTTCAGTAAACCACTGTTACCAATAAATTAAAAATTTTCAAACATTTTAACTCCATTGGGTCCAATTCATTTAAAATCCATTTTAGTTATTGGCTCCTCCATTAACGCCCAGGCTTTACCATCCAACTCACTTTCAAGTTCAATCCACTTAAGTTAACTTTAGACTAAGTTAGTAAATCACCACTAGCCTACATGCATGTTAGTAAGCCAATCTCAAATGTTTTACAACGATTTGTTTTTCTCCCAATTTCTCCTGCTAATTATTTAACAACAGTAGGCCTAACACCATAATATTCCATTAGTGATTCATAATATTCACGTCAACAACGTAATTCCGTTTTTCAATCACTTTAACGACAAGCGGTATTTCCCCACAACAATTAAAAATAATCCCGCATTTATCCCACTCGAGGTATAAAAATTCCCTTTTTCCGGGATAAAATCCCGCGGATGGACACTGACAACCTGACAGCAAGCCAACCCGGCGGCCGTCTTGAATCGATGCAGAACGCATCCACTTTTAATTTTCACAAGTACAAAAACATTTTAATTTTCGAAATTTTGCTTCCCATCCTCCCACAATAATTATTTCTGTATTCCCTTTCTTTCTTACTCCTTATACTAGCAACTTTTAATCAAGTATCTATTACCAATCATTGTTCACCAACAATCTGACAAAATATTCCAATATGGCGTCTTCACTCACAACGCAACATACAACGCACGACAACTCTGACACGACAACAGCACCAGCAGAGTGCAACACTGTGGGAGGGGGGAAGAGACCCAATGCATCCTAGATCACGTGTACAATGGCGAAATAAGTTTACGAACAAAATATTCTATTTACTTCAAAATTACCTAATAAATCGAAAAATAACTCTTTCTTCACGAAAATTTCACGAAAATGATTCTTATTTTACTTTTAATCGATTTAAACACGTTTTATTCCAGAAACATCTAAACTTTAAATTTTGAAAATTATTATGAGTAAAATAATTTGATCAAGCAAATCACTAATTCCACTTACCTTTAGGTGACATTGTCGCAGTCACCCCACCAGCTGACACCAGATGTCACACCAGCCTCTCTTGTAGTCTTCGTAGCGGTTGGGAGCAGGAAGAACGAATATTAAAACAAGCGAGTAGGGATCAGCTAACACTTTATTACTTAAAAAAATTAATCTTTAACAATTTCATCGATAAAAAATAAGACATTACAATTTACAAATCAAATCGCGACTAACCGAATAACATACGAATTACAATAATGAATTTAAAAACGTACACGGACTAAAAGAAAAGAGTAAGGATAAAAGAAAGGGCGCGAGACCGCGCGCGGCGGACATTACCGTCGTTCGCTACATTCCGGCGCGATCTGAGACTTCAGCATCGCCCAAGTGGAAGCGTCAGCGTGGTCACATGACCGTCATCGGCCAATCAGCGCACGCTGAGCGCTCAGCCCATAATTTACTCGCCCGTCTGGTGCTGCAGCCAAACGATCACAACTGTCATTAATGAAACTAACTGAAGCGAGGAACCGAGTCTAGAAGTGTAACATTGTTTATCGCGGCACACGTGCATGCAAATGCAGCACATTCCAAGGCATATCCGGCCAAGCCACGACGTCTGGTTAGGATTATTGTAGGGTTACAAAGTGATGAAATGAATTGGAATATGAGTTTCAAGGTTCACTTGGAGACTTATATGGAGTTGAATAAAATACAATATTGCTAAATACGGTTGACACATCAACCTAGCAAATATTCGGTGACAGCCAACGGGCCAGGTTTAGGGAGTAAGGCCAATCAGCTTAAGCTCAAAGTTAACAAATTACAACAAAATGAGGCAAATATGCCAGGCCGTCACACAAGTTTAATTAAGTGACATTTTGCTCACTTGTTGCACAAATAACTCTTTTTACTTTGGTTCCATGCCCAGAGCTGAGCTCTCTGAGAACGGGCAATTGCAAGGTTAAAATAGGCTACCAACCTCTGCAAACAAAATTTCTAGGAGTTGCACATACATTGTAGATAGATAGAACACCTCTTAACATTCGACAACTTTTCACATTAAGTGAATGCCGTTAAGGACCAATTTTACTTAATTTAATTTTTTTACTGTACAATATTTTCAATATAGCTGCCTATGTTTTTAGAGAAATTAAGAGATTATTTTATTTTATATTATTTTTTCCAGATTCAAAATCATTTAGAAAGTGGCAGAAGTGAGGATGGGAGTCAGCTGGAATTGAGTGCGTTAGACAGAGCTGAATCCATAAGGTTATGGAAAACCCGAGAGAACCGAGTGCTTATAGCAACTATCAATGTGGCATTGGAAATTAAGGTTGATATGTAGACACATGATATCTCATTGTTAGTCCATTAAAACATAAGTATTACAATCTGTTTGGTTCCAGGGATTCATTGATTTAAGTATGTCTATTTTATAAAAAAATACATTTTTTAAAGTTTTGAGTAGACACAATGTTGGGCTCGAAGGTTGATAAAATAGTTAAAATACACGTTTTTTATCATAGGTTTTAGAAAAAAAACAATTAACTGAGGAAGTCCAATAGATTCTTAAAAACAAGAATCTGCAGTTAGTTTATTAAAAACTTTAAGGATTACGATGTAATCACCCAGATTCGAAAGGTTTGCAAGCGCTCTTCATCAATGCAATTTTATAGGGGCATTGGCGTTCTGCAACCTCGTATTGAGAAATCCGAGCTGAGGTAGAGCGCAGGGCTTATCCCAACTCCGCGCGGTGGTCAATTTTGGCTCTCACAGCCCTGACGGCTGTGAGTTTATATTTGAAGTTTGAAATTATTATAAATGTACATAATTTAGAACTGTACGAAACTGCAGTAACTAATAAAATAAAGTTAATTAGTACAAAATATAATACTTATGTTTCATTTGAATTTACCTAATCTAACCTAACCTAACCAAACCTAACCTGTCACATGAATAAAGTAGCTATGAACAAATAAAAGTGTAACATATATAGAATATTTTATATTAAACACATCATATCTCATACGAAAGCACAACAGGGTAGCGTAGAGATTAGATGTGGCCACCGCGCAGAGTTAAACTATACACTAAAAGTGACCACCGCGTGGGGACTGGACCCTTCGGGGGCCATAAAACTTTTCCTCGGCTTAAATTTGACCACCGCGCGGAGTTGGGCTATCCCCAGAGCGCACCCTCAATAGTCTGAGTAAACCCAGTGAAATAAAGTGTTGCTACATGCTGAGGTATTGAAAAGAGCGTGAACTATTAACACTAACTAGGGTGCCTACTGCCATCTGATTTATAAATTTTAAAAAACATTTAATAGGAAAGGCGCCTTAAATAATGAAATCAGAAATCAGAAATCCTTTATTGTCATTAAGCAAAACAATCTTGCAATAGACATAGTCACATATTATGGTAAAATAGGGTTACACAGTAACCCAGTCAGACTAGATTAATAAGCTAATATCACAGACAATAACAGGTAAAAATTTAAAAGTTTAAAAGTAAAAAGAAGGCTGTAGGCTGGGTGGAGAATATACTAGATAAACTATTAAACATCTAAACATCAGAACTTAACAACTTTTACATCAAAAAACTCTTTAATCACATAAAAAGGATGTTCAACAAGCCAGTTGTATAGCTTATCTTTAAAAACCAACTCAGGCAACGCTCTTGACTCAGAGTGCAATACATTGAATAACTTTAAGCTCATGATTGAATGGTTACTGGCACATTTACTTAGTCTATAGGACGGAATTTCAAGTAGAGAGTTAGATCTAGTGTAATGAGAATGGAAATCTTTTCTAACAGCCAAGTCTCCTAATTTTAATTTAACATCAAGTAAACACACATACATGTACAGGTTAATGACAGTCAATATCCTAGTTTTTATAAACAAAGGTCTACAATGGGCTTTGAGAGCTGATTTGGTTACTATTCTAAGTGCCTTTTTCTGAAGTAACAAAACATCACTTATATTACTACCGTTACCCCAGAGAATCAGACCATAGCTTAACACTGACTGAAAAAATGCAAAATAGGCTACTCGGATATATTTCTCAGAAACAACAGTTTTTAACCTATTCACTAAATAAATAACTCTTGTCAGTTTTGAACATACTAAATCAATGCGAGCTGACCAAGAAAGGCTGCTGTCAATCAACACACCCAGGACTTTTATGGGCCTAACCTCTTTACAAATTACACCTGAGCCCAAATCTTTGTTTTTAGTATGGCAAACTAGGTGTTGTGTCTTGTCTACATTAAGAAGGAGTTTATTGGCACTAAACCAATCCCCAGCTTGTTTCATTGTATGTTCTACAGATAACTTTAATCTATTGAGATCAGGGTGAACAGTTAGGAACGTTGTATCATCTGCAAACATTGTGGTTTGAGAACCCTCAATACTAAGTGGCAAATCATTGACAGAAATCAAAAAGAGTAGGGGACCAAGGACCGAGCCTTGGGGAACCCCAGTTTTAACTTCAATGCACCTGGAATGCACACCCTTTTCATCAACAAACTGTGAACTACCACTTAAATAAGACTTAAAAAATTGGAGAGGACAACCACGGATGCCATAGTGCTCCAATTTACACAGCAAGAGACCATGATCGACACAATCAAAAGCCTTGCTCAAATCACACGCAGTCACCTGAGCAAGACTCCTTCCCTCAAAAGCTTCCAAAATCCCAGAAACAAAGCAATCAATGGCATCCGTAGTTGACCTTCCACTCAGAAAACCAAACTGACATGCAGAAAAAAGCTTAAATCTATCAAAGTGTGTACATACCTGGTTACAAATTCAACTTTTACAATTTGTTCAATTAATTTACCTAAAATAGGCACTAATGACACTGGTCGATAATTCTTGACATTACTTTTGCAACCCTTTTTGTGAATAGGAACAACTCGTGCTATTTTCAGCACTTCTGGGAAAACTCCCTCCCTAAAAATCGCATTGATACACAACACCAAAGGAAGCAATATTGCACTCAGAATATACCGGATTATGTAACCCGAGAGGCCGAACACATCTTTACTTTTTGAAACTTTCATGGCCCGCACTTCACTTATAACCTCCTCACTGGACACATATTTCCATTCAAGGTGAGCTTCACAACGACCGGACCTACGAAGCAGTTCCTCTGAAGACACATCAGGCTGATCAATGGTACTTCTGGCTTCCTCTACTGAGCTGACGAAGAAGTTGTTAAACTCCTCAGGGGAAATTCCCACCTCGACATCCGGAACATTGTTGGTTGTGCTCTTCTTGATGATGTTCCAAGCTGTTCGGCTTTTGTTGGAAGCGGACTCGATGGATCTGTCGTTTGCATCTAGTTTTGCCTGGTTGACTGCCGATTTGTAGATCTTCCGACTGCAATTATATGCCTTAAGTGCCACCTCGCTAGGAGAAGCTTGAAGTATTGTACGATAGGCCATAGTCCTTTCTTTAATTTTTTTCAAGTCCTGTGTGTGCCAAGATTTTCCTGCACCACTCGAAGTTTTGTTCTTCTTTCTTACGATTTTCTCCGGGCAACTTATGTAAAAAACATCCAGAAGAGTGTAGAAAAAAAACATTAAATAAGTCCTCAGCAGGTAAATTACCAAAGTTTAACAGAGGCAGCCAGTCAATTTGTAGTAAATTGGATTTAAATTCTTGTAAACGCTTCAAAGAGACGTCTCTATTGACAACTGTAGGTATTTCTGGTCGAGTAGAAGATTGGACCAACTCCACTGTAAGCTCCAGCCCATCATGGTCAGACATATCAGGGTAGACCACTTTAGAAGAATATAACTCTTCCGAGATGTTGGTAAAGATGTTGTCGAGACAGGCGTTGAACCTAGTTGGCGCTCTGTTAATGTAATGACAGTTAAATTGTTCCAGAGTGTAGACAAGCTGCTTCACGCTTTGTAGTTTATTATTTACATCAAATTTGGCATTGAAGTCACCACCAATTATTATATTACTCTTGAAACGATCTAAGAATATTAATAACAGTTCCAAATTAGCGAGAAAGATGTTGCTGTCTCCAGATGGTGAATGGTACACCGATACTATAGCCAAATTAAAAGCCTTGATAAATATACCAGAACATTCAAAATTCTTTTCAACACAGAGCCAATCCAGTTTTAAATTCTCAAAACTTATCAGGCTGGATACAAAGATACCAGTACCACCCCTAATGAAATTCTTCCGACAAAAAAACGCTGCACTTCTGAAGCCGTCTAGGTTAAGGAACTCCACTTCTTCTTCAACGAGCCAATGTTCATTTAAGCAGATAATACTATACTCGTTTTCAGTACTTTCTATTTCTAACATATTTAGCTTGCCTTGTAATCCTTGAACATTTAAGAATAAACATTTAAGTACACAGGATCCTTTACGCTGTAGGCCTACAACATTTGACTTACAATGTAGTGATGTTGAGGTAGATAGGCCTAGGCCTTGTTCCATATGGACTTTAGGAGGTGTTAGTTCTTTTTGCGTTGCGGTCTCGCATTCCATAAAAAACTCTTCCTATCATTGTGGAACGGTCTAGGTTTAGGTCTAGGTGATGTGTACTCACACACAAGTACACCTTCAGGCCACAGTTCCGGCTTTATAATGTTGTCTACGTCTTCCGGGTTGACTCCTACCTTATAGGACTTGTAGCCAGGGAATTTAGTCCTAACTTCTTCACAAATCACGTTACTAGTATTAACGCCCACCTGTTCTAAATGTTCCTTAATGTCCTCGGGTTTGCATTGTAGTGACAATCGAGATACAAACACCCACTCCTTCTTCTGAGCCGAAATCAAATTGGAATTCTCCACACTAGGCTTAGAACCCACGACAGTTTTCTTACTATGGTTAACAGATAACCTCTTCTCTTTTTCGCTAAGTTTATCTAACTTGCCACGGGGGTTAGGCTTAGGCCTACCCAGAGCCCTGGTATCTTGATTGGCAGTCTTATTTTGGGCTGCTATTTGTGCATATGTTTCGATATCATTGGAACCATCAGATATTTTTTAAACACTAGAAACATTTAATACTTCGATATTAACATTTTCATTGTTCATTACATTTGAATCGGATGTGCAACGATCACTTTCGTCTGTAGTGGTAGGCCTATTCCCAATAATGTTTGGGGTTGGAATTGATTTGCTAGAGTTTTCAACTTGTTTCAGCCGCTCATCTATTTTAACGTAATTAGTTTGAATCAAGTCTAATTTATCCCAGATCAATTTTAAGCTGGTATTGTCATTGGTATTGCCACTCAAATGTTCATTTTTCAAACGGTCTATGAAACGTTTAACCTCACTTTCACATGCAGAGCAGAACCA